TAATTTTTTAACCTTGGCTACAGGAAGTAGGTAAAAAGGTTCAAGAGGAACATTATACTTTCTTTTCTTGAAGTTTTTTATTGACATTGCTGCAGGATTTCTAGGTTCAAGTTGGCCACAGTCCTCCAAAGTTGTATTCTGTAGGTCCACTGTACCCACAATATACCAAGAAGTACATTTCAGTTCCAACAAATATTACAAACACATAGAAAATCACCCAAATTACCTAGCATTACACTTACCAGAGAATACCCAAAACACAAAAAAATTGTGTAGATTTCATCCTCTGGATCTCTTAAATAGGTTTGATCATTAAATGCAACATACATGATCATACTCTAAAATTATATTTGTTCTGCGATGTTATATTAGTAATGTACACTATTTACATTTGTTAATTACAGAAACTGAATCCATGAAGGACTGAATGCCAGTTCCTTCACATGCCATTGTAAAACTTTGTGAAAAGATTTGCCTATAGTTCAGATGTAAAAGGTGGCAAATAAAAATATATAAAATAAAATGAAAATTACTGTAATGAAATTAATTAATGAAAAAAAGGATAACTTCCCTACATAACCAAAGTTCGAAAAAAATTCGAGGTGCTTCTTTAAGACATTCCCACCTGACTCTAAAATTGTCACTGCAATAGTTCAGAGAGTACTGAAAACTTGAAGCACTTCAACACAAAGTCTTCAGAGAGTACTGGGAAATTCTGAATCAAGCAATACAGTGATACAAATTTACTGAATTCTATTGTGTTGCTGGATAGCAATGGAACATTGTGAAGCCAGAAACAATCGCAATCCGCTTCTGAAAGGCCAGATTCAGTAAAATGTAACTTGCGACGAGTGGAACTGCTGATCACAAGAAATCCTGTTACTGACGCACAGTCAGAATTTCACAATTTGTTATCATAAGAAGACGACTACAGGACCTTTCTTAGTGTTGAAGCAGATCTCGTTATAGGCACTCATCAAAGACAAAGATATTGTGACTTCTAAAGGTGATGTACCAAGAAGACATGTTGGGAGAAGGTAATGAAGAGGCACAGGAAATAAAATCACCAACACAGACAATGGAGAACTTTAATGTTTTTCAATATTGGTGACAAGGCTTTCGGTGCGGTGAATATCCTACAGAATGTTGAACAAATCTTATCTCTTCTTCATTTCTCTTTCAGTCTAGTTTTGGTACTTGAGCCAGTCTTAAAATCCTCATTTGCACTGCTTCTAATTTTCATTGGACTCGCTATCCAAGTTTCTGATCCATACATTAATGCTGGCTTTGCAGATATTGAAATAATTCAATTCAATGATGCCTTATTTTATGTGGCAAGACTGAGACCATGAGGCCTGCTCTTCTGTCTGACCACAAATATTCTAGTTCCTCTAGCACAATCACCATCTAGCAGAGAAAGAAGGTATTACTCAGGCGACAAAACAGGTGATTTGAATTTAACTCAAGAGGCATCTTCTAGGCCTGAGAATCTTTTACATGCAGCAAATTGACTTCATGGGGCAGACTGCTTTATTGGACTCCAAAGGAAGGCATATGAAGGATTTCTTCACCCTTAAAAATTCACGGCTTCAATCAGATTTGAACATGCAAACTTGGGTATAACAGTCCGTTACACCATCGAAACCATAATAATAACAACAACAAAACTAATAATAGCTTGCCACCAACAAATTAAAAACTGTGCCTTTGAGAATAAAAACATGCATACGATCTCCTTAGAATCAATCTCCTCCAGAGTATTAAGGAACGATTAACACTGATGACCAGGAGAACATCACGACTGGAATAACAAACTGGCGGTAAGCAGAGCAGAATAATCTTAAGTGCCAAACCAGAAGTCTATTGACGTCTCATACTACTCATGATGTTGACAAGCTCTATCTCCCGGAGATCTGGAAGCTGTGGACTTCTGCTGATAAAAGCCACATCAAACAGAGTAAATCAAAAGTTGAAGTGAGATGTGTGAGAGTATCATGAAGGTGGGGGTCATGCCTGCTTAACAACAGAGAGGAGAAACAGCAGCAATAGTTCACATGGGACATCACTGGGAAGTGGAAGTGCTCTCACAAAAGCTTGTGTCCATGTGGTCGAGGGAGGCAGGTGTGTCAGAAATGGACCTGATTGGAGTTATTTGCTCATTTAAGGCTTTTATTGTTATAACATTTCTTAACCATAAGTGACAGTTTCATCTTTCAATTCATTACTGAATCTTTACTAAACAATTTCAAACCAGCATCATGCATAAACACTTGGTGGAAACTCAGGTCCTTTTGCTGCAACATTATTTTAGGATCTGTGAATGCAAAGAAGAGTTTTGAATTCTGAGCAACATAGTGAATATTATACAATTTCTCCAAAAAAGAATGAAAGAACCGCAAGTGTAGTGAATGATCAAAATACATATTACTTTAAAACTTAAAATATTTTAATACATTAATAATTTACATCTCCATTTCTCCTTTTGCAATTCATTCACAAGTCCTTGAAACAAGTCTGTTGAAGAGAGACTGAAGGTCTGCTCCGAGCAGCACAAGATAAGGCAATAAGAATCAAGGCATTTCACAACATATCACAGTCAAGGATGGCAAATGATGACTGTGCAAACAATGAGAAGAAACTGTCAATTTCAATTAGTGTATGTAGTCAAGATGGAACTGATCAATTTCAAACAACACAAGTAACAAAGTGGCCACCATTCTGCATCTGTGCAGAAAGTATGCAGTATTCTCCAATTTCAAGATCCAGACAGGACATTAATTGGCTCACAACACGGCAAATCTTACCACTGTTAGAAGGAAGTTTGAACAGGCAATGTGGCTATCTCAGCAAATTCCTGAGCAGACCAGAAGATTGAAAAAATTAAATCTTCAGATCTCTAGATAGACTTAAAAACACTAAAATTTGACGGTCACAGTTGTCCTAATTCTAGCTGGTATTTAATGGGAATTCATGATCTAAAATATAGCAGTTGCAATAAAATGCAAGGGAGGAGAGTGCAAGGAGACTCAATCTTCAAATTATGATGAAGCCTCGAACAGGTCCATCTGGTAAAATAAAATTAAATAAAGTTTTAAAATAAATTAATACAATTAAAGGATTATAGTTCAGTTTTAATATTCATAACGAATTCAGAAATGGAGATCTAATGAAGAACAAGTGAAAACAGGTCTTTCTGAGTAGTGTACTCTCACTATTCACGGTGCAACTCCTCTTTGTTTTGCCCTGGCTTACCTCCAACATTAGACCTTGCCTACATCAATGGCAGGCGGATGGGCCATTCAAGGGAGGGTGATCGCTCTGCCCAAGGAAGGGAAAAGGTAACAAGATACAGAAGGAAGATCACAAGAGGTCACTGCTCCAAATTCTAGGATGACGCTCCAACATTCACCCGGAAGTGTTCAAGGAAACCACTGATAGGAGCAATTGGCCCACAAATTCAATTCCTCCAGGCTCTACAAACTTGCCATCATTAACTGTATCATGCTAATTTATGGCAGCTGGTGATATCAAAACTGACCTCCCAATCACCAGAACACTTGAGACTTAAAGGACAGCTTTAACACTAATCGCCACTGATGTTGGTTGAGCTGCCACTAGGATAGGCAAATATATCAGAGAAGACCTCCCACACACTTTAATTGTTCCCCATATCTGACCAAGTTGCAATATCACAGGAAATTTTATGACAAATAGCAAGTGTAAAATTACCAGAGAAAGTGTGAAGCACAAAAAAAAAAAGAAATTTTTCCATTGGAATAGAAATCTACTTTGCCTAATCAACCACAAAACGCATTAATATCTTGAACTTCCTTTACAATTGAGCTCCCCAATAAACAATTTAAATGTAATTTTCCCAAATTTTCATTATTCCCTTAATAATATAAATAGGAATGTGTAATTGCAAACTAGACGGAAACTCCATCCACAAAAGTGTAGTTTCTAAATTCATCATCGACAACAATTTCCGGTCATCTACATTTCTTTCCCCAGATTAAAATGATTCCCCTCACCCTTCCCAAGACCAAATCTAGTAAGAAGTATAAAAAAAATTGTGATAAAAATGAAAAGAAGATAATGCTAGAAATTATAAATGTCAAGTTCATGTTCTAATCTCCTTCAATATCTTGAAATGTTGCAGATGGCTGAAGAGAAAGAAGGTGAAATAACAAACATGAAATCAGTAGAACCTGCAACTTTACTAGATTAACATGAACATACTCCAGTTGTTTTAATCCCTAGATTCTTAGGACACAGAAATGGTGAACTCCAAAATGTGTGATTATGTAAATATGTACTGAATTTGAAAATCAAGGAAATGGAAATAGGCATGTATTTGCACAAAATCATGAACCAGAAAGACAATGATCCAAATTTATAGCTAATTGGATTGAAATCAGAGAAATTTAAGGAACCAAAGAAAAAGAGCACTGAAACAAAAATTTAAAAACTGTTGTCACTAGAATGTTGATTACATATAAGCAGCAAATATCAGATATATGCAATATCACATTGATAAGATATATTTTGCATTTTTTATGTAGTACATAAAATCAAGTTTTAACATAACAATTTAACAAGTTTCTTCTTGAGTATTTTTCATTGGATTGGTCTAAAGTGTTACTCACACAGGTACCTGAATCTTTGATTTAAATAGTACTCTACTAGAAGTATAAGAAAATCCAAAAGATCAAGGAATGCATACAAAGGGGTACACAACTGGCATGAATTATTAATAAATAACACAGCCTAATGGACATAAAAAAAGGAAATAGCAGAAAATAGAGCACAGTAAGAAAAGGAAGAAGTACAACGCTTCACATGAAAACACACCAAAGCACTGCACACACACCACAAGCATTAGCATGCAAACTTGACAATGATTACAGTACATTCACTTGGCAAATATACAAGGAAAATGGGAGGGAAACATATACATCATGTCAAACTAGCATACAAATATAGTATATTTTGATCCATACCTATTGAACTGATGTTCCACCTGCCTTGTGTCATTTGCAATATGACTAAATGTATTTTTTGGTGTTAGCTCCTTATCAACTATGCCCATTATAGCCATCTGCTGAGATGAATGGGCTGAGAAGACGTACTCTTGCTTGAAGTTCTGCTCAGAATCCTGCAGGCAAACACGCAATTTTAATGATAGGCGGCAAACACCAAACACAAATACAGCAATATCGTTATCAGAAATTAATTGCTATTGTTCGCAATTCATATTTTTTTACGACGGTTTGAATGCAATTTCAATGCTACGTACAGAATAACGACGGCGCTTCAAGTACGAGTGAATAGCAGATTTCATAAGGTTCGCTTTAGCTCGACGCATATTCGTATTTGTCGGCATCTTCGTACTTCACTTAACATATAAAAACGTAGTAAGAAGTCGTGTACTTCATATCACCACCTTTTATGTTTCTTCAAACCACTACAGTTATTCATTATATACGTTTTTGTGTTCAACATTACACGACTAAGATACATTCCTAACAAAAAGCACATTTACACCGATCGGTTTTGGCAAAATTGAAGAACGCGTTTTGGGTCTTCATTCCGATTTTTGTTTTGATCTCATCCACTGAAAATCCCACTTAAATTTCCACGCGACAATCGGCCAAATAAACACATAGTAACTATTTTTAATTTCAAATTACAAATGAAAGTAGAGCCACATTAAAAATACCGCAAAACCCCACAACACTACAGCGACATATAAAAGTGCCGGAAGGAAATAAATTAATTCAGTCCCTCCCGCAAAAGCAACACACGCCGGCAGCCAAGCCAACCCTTGGCCATGCCCTTGGCCGATCTGCGTGCGGGCAACGCTGGGCCTTCACTTAACCCCCAAGCCTCGCGCGCATCTCCAGTCACCAAAATCGTACAAGTTACAAACACGTAAAAACAAACAAAACAAAAATGGCATCCTAGTTATATCCAAAAACGAAACGCAAAGCATATTATTTCTCAAAATATACGTACCTTTTAATTTTAGAAAATTAAAATTCACTAAATAACTTAAAAATTAGTAAAATATCTTGAAATAATTTCTGTTATATTGGCACTTGTCATTCACACGTACCTACGTAACGCGGAAATTTTAAAATGTAAATAAATAACATTTCTTGAAATAATTTCTGTTATATTGGCACTTGTCATTCACAAGTATCTACAAAATTTTAAAATGTTAACCTTCTCCGCAATTTTTACATGCAGTAGGTTTTACATATTTTTTTTATTATGAGGATCGCAAATATATTGGTGAAAACCACCTATTAAACTTTGAAAAATATACCATAACTTCTTAACTATAATTTTCCCATCAGTTTGTGTTTGTTCATTAAAGACGAAAATTGATATCTTGGTTCAGTACCGCAAATTACTACTGTAAATTGGCCTATCCTCTGAGTAGTAGTAGTTAGCTTATTTTAGTTTTCAAAAAATCCCAGTTTTCTTTACAAATTATATGACATCTTAAACAATTTATAGGATATTTTAATGCGTTTTACTTAAAATACCTCGATTTTTTAGAAATTTTGATGTGTTCAGGACTTTTGAGCACATTTTGAGACCCAGTACAAGTAGTTTGAACCGTGAAATAAACAAATGTTACAAAACTCTGAAATATTACATTTTTAGCTAGTTTAAAGTTATTTGTGTACAATAAAATATTGATAATTCATTTTGCTATATTTTAAGTATTGAGGTCTGTTGAGGACCGTAGGCCACATCGTAAATGATGCTTGTATAACATAAACTAGACATTTTACTTATTTTTCCAATTCTTTGTGATTTTAACGACTTATACACTTATACACAGTCATTCAAAGTATTGAGTTTTGTTGAAATCATAAGGCCTACCTTTCTCAACGTCTTGAGATCAAATTTTCTCGCAGATTTTGTCTACAAGATTCAATGGGTGTATGCAATAAATGATATAATTATGCAAGAGATAACACAGCAGGGGCATGAATATTACATAGGAGATAATATAACACAGGTGTGAAAATGAAGCAATATTTTGCAATAGGTAACACAAATGTGTAAAAATGCAAATGGTGATACAAATGAATGAAAATGATATAATACCAATGGCGTGCTTAGGTTGCACAACCCCCGGATAATCGAAAAAGATATAATATATTAAAATATCAAAAAGATACATTTTCTTTTACTGAAATTCAGTATTAAAGATATTACAGAAATATCAATGTATATGAAATAGTTTTGAAAACAAATAGAGTTCAACTGCCGCTCTCTCACGTGCACCGCGTTCTTTGATTTAACACGGCAAACATAGGCCCTTTTGGTAGAGCAATCACGTGGGTGGCGCTGTGTAGCGCTGCGCGGGGAACGAACGAGTCTCTGGGGAATCCATCGACTCGCAGCAACGTAATTTTATGAATTTCGATTGTTATTGAAAGTGCACAAGTTCAATCAATTATTGACGATATTTAAAGCATTATTTATAATGTTTAGATAATTTGTTTTCATTTGATATTAGATTTATTGATTTAAAATATACCCTTTATGAATTATTTGTGTAAAGTTGGACGTTCTGGATGGAAATCCCTTTCTTGGTAGACAATATTTCCTCTTGCAGCAGTCTGCATGGAGAGCGGTGGAAGGAATACGAGCGCGCGTGTGTGTGTGTAAGGATCTTTATTAAAAACATACCAGGGTAGTGAAATTTTCGAAATAAAATAATTTTATTTGTGTAAGACGTGTCGAACTTAAGTGCCCAGTGAAACTCAAAGAAACCACGTGCGTGCGAGGGGTATAAGCCTGAACGGAAACGACAACAATTACATAAGTAATGTTTCCACATGGACTTTCATTTAACTTACTTTTAATTAATTTTAATTGCTTACGTTTTTTATTATATATCCATTTTATGAATTTTGGAAAGTACTTTTCTGTTATTTGATGGAGATGCAACCTTCAGTCTGTTGGGGCACCAGCCGTCACTGCGTAATAGAATGGAATGCTATCTGTATCCACTGCAAGTATAAAGCCAATTTTATCATCATGTCTTCATTTATTAAGTGCTTTCATGTGTCTTTTTCAGAATACATTGGAGATTTCATGATGTGAGTAGAAAGAAGTATCGTTTAATGTTAAAAAAATGTACTATCATCATCATGAACGTTTAAGGCATAGGTCAGGTGGCCTGTTCCTTTGGTTTGTTCTTGATCTTGTCAACGGACAGTAAGTGGACTTGGACAGTTAACGCCTGTTCTTCCTCATGGTTTGTATTTTAGGACTTTTTTGTGGGTAACATTCTATCTTCTTCCTCTTGATATGGTCTTGTCATTTCTTTTGGTATTTTTCAATTTCTGATAATATTAAAAATATTACAAAATGAAATTATATATGTATATATATATATATATTAGTATACTAATGTATTCTAACTAACCACCTAACCCGTCTGCATCACGACTTACCATCTTTCATACAGGCAGGCACGCATGAACCGTAAGCGGGTTATCAAGATTTTGCTCGTGAAGCGAGCTTAAAAAATCTAGGGAGCAGGATGTTCAGGGTGCGAGCAAGGTTTGAACCCTTGACACAATAAAATGTGCAAATCACACAGATTGCACACAAACGAGCGTATAATTTGCCCATAAACTTTTAGTGGCATCGGTTCATTACAAAAAATAAGAATCTAGAATCACACTTTTACAAAGAATAATCAAAACACAAAAAGAAACCTTTACAACACACACTCATATGAATGAACACATATAATTTGCTCCAAAATGGATACTCTGAAATAATTACCCTAATCTACACTGGGAATTCCTTTAGAAAATTAATTGTATCTAAATTTATGCTATTCTAATTACATTGCACATGAAACCAAAAATTCAATTTACAATCTGCCTGCTTCAAAATATTAGCGTAGTGGGGCAGAGAACAAATGTGTGGGCAAGTGCATAGCTCTCATTTAGCAATTTAACTGTGTCTGCAAAATAGAGAATAATAATGTCCTAAAGTGGAATGTTTTATGGGCAGGCAACTGGGCGCATCACAATGTCCCTAAATATAATAGGGCTCTGGCAATTTGCTTGCCACCCCGTGTCTTCAATTCTTAACACTTTCTATACTAGTTTCCCTGGCCGACGTGAACTTCACTTATTTTTCCGGGCATTCCTGTTACGTCGTGACTTCTTCCCCACTTTTCGGCTTTGATGGTCGTGCGCTGGTCTCTGGCGCCGAGGTTGGCTCGGTCCGCGAGCTACTGCTTGGTCGTGAGAAGCGCGGATTCGGCCTCTGGGCGCGTCTACGCTGTCTTCTTGGTCGGCTCTTCCGTTCTTCTTCGTTAGTCGATCCGTCTTCTTCCTCGTGCGGGCGCTGGGTCGCTAGGTCCTCTTCTTCTTCCTCCGTACTGGGGCTACGGTGCCTCTGACTATACGGCCCGTTGGCGAATAATGTCTTGCACGCTGCGCTCGAATGAAGCTCGTTCTAAGTTGCCTCGTGTTGCTACTTCTAGCTTTGCTAAAGCCGACTTTTAATGCTTCTCTCACATACGGGTAACTTTTACTTCCCGTGTCGTTAATTGAAGGACTACTTTACTTAATCTGACTTCTCGCGGACGATCAATAGAACGTCAGTTGACGCCGAATACTTCTAAGCCTAGTAATCGTTGGGCAGCGGCAAAGCAATATCTAAGCTAATGTTGAATTGAATTTGCCTTTTTTTACGTGGCGAGACTCGGGGCCAGTCAGGCCCGACTTCTTGCGTCTGACCACGCAAATTCCGCTTACGCTCCTTTCACCAACTAGGCGAGAAAGCGGGGTTTTTATGGGCGAGACAAGCAGGCGATTTGAATTTAGCTCAGAGGCGTCATTTAGTGGTTCTTGAGGATCTTTTTACATGCAAGTAAATCCTAGGCAGAACATGGGACAGCCGGCTTTACTTCCCCTCGCGAAGGAAGGCGTACGAAGGATTTTTTCGCCGCTTGAAAAATCGCACGGCTTCGATCGGGTTTGAAGCCCGCTAACTTGGTACACAGTCGCAGTACCCGCTAACGTTACAAACATCCGCCGGCCGGCGTTCAACCGAAGTGTTGGCCGGCTAGCGGGAATCAAAGAGAAGAGCTGCTTACTCGACGAGTGGGCAAAAAGAGAGCTTCTGCTTTGGTTCGCGTATTTATCGTCCGACGCCTCAGGGGAAATCGCTCAGTGGTGGGGCTGCTTCCCTCTCTCAACCCTTCACAGGAAGACATTGCTGGCTAGTTCGCTTCGTTTTAGTACGGGGCAACGGATACGTAGGCCGGCGTTTAAGAACTTCTCCTTTACGCGGCCTGGCTATTGTGACTGGGGCCTGTGGGTGTTGCATACATAGCGAGAACGGTGGTGTTAGGGAGGGATGCACAGACATAAGCAGCAATTATATATATATATTACGTATACCGGTAGTATCTACTACCCCTACCCTCATACCTTACCACTCTTTCATACAGTAGAACGCATGAACCGTAAGCGGTTTATAAGATTTTGCTCGTGAAGCGAGCTTAAAATCTTAGGGAGGCAGGATTTTTCAGGGTGCGAGCAAGGTTGGAACCCTGACAAGGCAATTAAAACTGTGCACAACAGATTGGCAACAGCAAACGAGCGTATAATTTCCCATAAACTTTTAGTGGCATAGTTATGTAGCAAAGCAAATATAAGAATCTGACAATTTTAAAAAGAATATCAAAACACAAAAGAAACGCTTTACAACACAACTCATTGAATGAACCACATATAATTGAAAATTGATACTCTGAATAATTACCGCCGCTACTACCATGGATTCTTTGGAATTTAATTATATCTAAATTTGTGCTAATCTAATTAC